AATTCCCGGGACCCCCTCGGTCAGGCCCTGGGTGTCCCTGCCCCCCCCCACCCCCCGAGGAAAGGCGGCCCTGTGAGGGCACCGGCCGTCTCTGAGCGGGGACTGTGGTATCCCGCCCCGCTCCTTCTCCCCTCAGCATCCTTCCGTACCCGCCGGGGTCGGGCTGGCTTTCTCCAGCCGGCCAGGAGACGGGATCAGCCCCAGGGTTATGCCCCTTCCTTGCCTTCCAGGGGCATCTCGCAGGGCTGCCAGGCGGTCGTAAACCGTCCCCGGGTTCTCCATCCCGCCCCTGTTGGTGTTGCTGAGGTTACCCCCGCTTCCCCGGCAAGTTTTTGTGGCAAAGGCCTCCCCAGGCCCGCTCGCCTTCGAGCATGGAGTTCGCGGAGCTGATCAAGACCCCTCGAGCGGACAACGTCGTCCTGCACCGCCCGTTCTACCTGGCGGTGGAGGGGACTCTCTGCTTAACTGGCCATCATCTCATTTTTTCATCACGGCGTCAAGATAACGCTGAGGAGCTGTGGCTGCTGCACTCCAACATTGATTCTATTGAAAAAAGGTATGCCTCCTAACTTCCCTGCTTTCCCACACCTAATTGTTTGTGTCTCATGGGTTGAAAAGTGGTTGTCAAGGCCGGCTTGCACCTCAGCTATCTCAAATCCAGGCCTGGAGAGGAGAAAGGACAGTTAGAGCACCGGGCAGAATATTGGCATGGGCAGGTTGATTCTCATTCTGTTTGTATATTGATATTTGGCTGTTGCATCTTAAAGATTATTTTTTTTTGTCTCACATAGAGTTGGAATTTTTATGTTTAAAGACCTTTGTCAGCAGTGCTCTGTGTTTGAACACCTTTGTCAACAGTGCTCTCTGTTAATTGTTTGGTGGATTTTATCAGTAGCTCTTGACACACCTTAAAAAGGATGCATCTCTACCACTATCTAACAGAGATGGAAGCCGAGGCACTGATGAAGTGATTTGCCTTGGGTTGCCTGGCAAAACCAATGGCAGAAGTGGACTCCGGACTTTCTCAGCCTCAGATCTGTCTCCTTTTGCTCGACGCTATCATCCCTTTGCTCCTCCAACTGCTTATGGAAATCAGTAACACTTTAGCAGCATACTCCTTGCGGGAACAGCATGGGAAAGCTGAGTTGTAGCTGCAGCACTCCATTTTATTCTTGCCCATCCCCTTTTGTTGCACGGACTTCAGAGATTAATCTTCTTACCATTACTTCTCTCTGCTTTACGTGTGCTGTTGCCCCATCACAATTCCCTCCTTGAGTGGCAGTCCCATCTCACCTGGTCATTGTCTTCTGCTTCCTCACCTTGGCCCTTTTTTCAGTTTGCTCAAAATATTTTATTTTGTTGTTAATAACAAAGTTAGTCCCCTGTTTTCCTTGCCTTTTAAGGAAATCTGGAAGAATAGATTTCCTTTCTGCCAGCAAGGCTAGGAAAAAATCAAGCAGCAGCAATTAAAAATATCCAAGTTACCTCAGAATCTGAAAATGGGTGAAGTACTGGGCGCTGATTAAGTTTGTTCCTGATTTCTCTGAGTGTTTCTGAGAAATGCTGCGTGTTGGCCTGAAGGTGGAGAGGAACACAGTGGTGGAAACCTCAGGAAATCTGTTCCCATCTAGTATTGCTCAGTCATCAGGGCAGTTTTGCCTCATCCTCCTTACTGCTTGTACTAAACCAGCTGTAGCTCTGTTTTGAAAATTATTGTGGACAAACTTTTCTTTCTGTTTTATTTTTATGAGCTTAGTTGCAGTTACAATGGAAGTTAATACCAAATAAGCAAGAAACATTTTAAGTTATGGCGAGGGAGTAGTGCGTTGCTAGCTCAATACGTGATTTATAACAGAGTTAGCTATGTCTGCAGATACTCACAGCCCTTATTGCCAGCCCTGGTTTCTAGAAGGTCTCTAGAGTAGACATCTCCCTCCCTGAGAGTAGCTCTGTGTGAATGTAATTGCAGTGAAACTCTGCCATATAAAAGCATAAGAGTATATTCTTCTCAGGGCTAGAGAGAATGGAATAACAGGGCTCTTAAACCAGTGAAGGTTGTAGAAGGGTCCAGTTTGGCACTACTTCAGGTTATTTGTGCATGACAACTGTGACATTGTGACAGGTTGATAAAATCTGTTCTGCTTTCGTGACATGAATGTCTTTTGTACAAAACAGTGTTTTCCCTAATTATCAGATGGTCATCAAATTGCTTCTTAAATTTTGGTAGCTTTTTAAGCAAGTTAAATGTGACCTGTAGGGTTTGTTGAGAAGTGGAACAGTCTCTAGTGATCTCCTGTGGTGTTTTTGCTTAAAGAGAACACAGCCCTGGTGATGCGTTGTAGCTGCCCCGTGTTATTACCTTGGAGAGCTGTGAAATAGCGCTGCAACGAGGGCAAACGATGCACAGACTGGCTCTGCTGGAGTTGCAGAACTTTTCTGTCAAAACGCCTGTAGTTCTTCCTTCAGCACTACCCAAATTATAATTGGTTCTGCATGTTAACCTTTGTCTGCGCAGAAGAAATAGATAATGACCTTTCAGCTGTAATAATAATTCTGAAATAAATTGCAGGCTCCTTTTGTAGCACAGGTGGAGCAACCCAAAGCTTAGCAACAGGCCTCCTCTTGGAGCGCGTACAGCTCTGGGGTTCGGCCACGAGGGACTGAAACTTGGTCCTTCGGGTCTTGCCTGCTTCTGCTTCTTGCATCGTCCTTGGCTGCCGCAAGCGCTCCTGCGCTGTATGAGGATACTCAGCTGCTTTTCCTTAGTTCGCTGCTTTGAGAATTAAATTCTACATCATTCCTGTGAATACTGGTGGCTAGTTAAGGTAAACAAACACTCGATTTCTGTTCGGGCATCATCCTTCTTTGAGGTACGTGAGGAAGACTGGAGAGGGCGTCTGTGAGCTGTGTTTGGTTTTTGTAAGGTGGAGCTTTTTCTGGGTTGACTCGCGTTGTAACCAGCGGTGGTGAGACCTCAGCTTCTCTGAGGTCTGCAGAGCAAATAGCTCCGTGGCACTGCAGGTATCAGAAACCAAACTTTCTTGTTAAAGACAAGGGAGTGCAATGTAGCCAGACTGAAATGTTATTTTAAAAATTTAATTAAACTCAAATGTTTTAAGCAACCCTCAAAGTTCCACTGCATTACTTTAATAAAACTGGAAACTTCCAGCTGAAGCTTCCAGTTGTATCAGGAAATACCTGAACAGTCCTTTTCTCTTTCACGTTTTAAAGAAAAGCTAGGAGGAAAACCTTCTCTTTTTCTTGTAACACTTACACTTCCACTCACTGCTGTATCACAAAGATGGAATTTAAAAAAAGCTAATACCAAATAAAGAGGTGGTTTTGTCTGTTTATTTTTTTGAAAGGTGATATTGTGGTCAAATTACTACTAATGGAATTTTGTCTTGTAGGCATATGTTGTGGGAAGAGCTGTAATACTTCATCATACCTTAGAAGATCCTGTTCTTAAGAGACTCTTTCATGTCTTGCTGTAGGTTTGTGGGCTCATTGGGTACCATCATTATAAAATGCAAAGATCTGCGAATTATTCAGCTTGATATACCTGGAATGGAGGAGTGTTTGAACATTGCTAGCTCTATTGAGGTAAGAATTCATAATGATAAGTAACACCTACATTCTCAGATCTCGATCTGTCCTCAACTGTAACAGCTTTTTTCCAGTTGGAAAGGTTTTCATTGATGTTCTGTAAGGCAAATGAGAATTGTGGGATGTTTCATTTCAATTGGTAAAATATTGGTTTTTGCTTGTAGGTGGTTTTTTTAAAAACAAAACCAAAAAACAAACCACCATACTTTTCTTGATCAAATATCTTGCCATAGCATTTGGGAAAATGAAGCTCAGCTTCATTATGCTGGAGCATGAGGAGGCAAAACCAAATCAGACTGGTTTTGTTTCATGTGTCTCAAACAACATTAAGTGACTTCTTGAGTTTAAGATCTGTTGTTAGTAATCATGTAAATGACACGTAGGATGTGTCCTGTTAGTTATACCTGTTCAGTGTGCATCTTTCTCATCCTTTGGTGCGCTGTTACATAGTGTATCCTGCAGAAATGATACTCTGTGTACAAACCCCGAGTTGCAGTTAGATTGTCTGTTATCATCTGCTTTTGTTTGTCCTACAGTTTTTTATGTATATTTAACTACCTGGCAGGTAACTTAGTATTTCAGGCTTAAAGGCTATATACTTTTGGGTGGCTTAAGTTTGCATCACCAATATTAGAGGAAAACACTATTTGCTGTATGTTTTTTGGAATAAAATATAAGTTTGAATGAATTAAGTAGCTGTTTATTTCTCTCACCCACACAGGCGCTTTCCACTCTGGATTCTGTCACTCTCATGTATCCATTCTTCTACCGGCCCATGTTTGAAATCGTTGAAGATGGCTGGCGCTGCTTTCTGCCTGATGAAGAATTTGAGCTCCTCAGTTCAGTGGTAAGTTGGATCTCAAAGATTTGCACAGGCATTCAGATATACTTGTGCACGTAGTTTGTGAAGTATGTCATTGTCCTGGTTTCAGCTGGGATAGAGTTCATTTTCTTTCTAGTAGCTGGTATAGTGTTATGTTTTGGGTTCAGTATGAGAAGAATGTTGATAGCACACTGATGTTTTCAGTTGTTGCTAAGTCGTGTTCATACTAAGTCCAGGATTTTTCAGCTTCTCATGCCCAGCCAGCAAGAGGGCTGGAGGGGCACAAGGAGTTGGGAGGGGACACAGCCAGGACAGCTGACCCAAACTGGCCAAAGGGGTATTCCATACCATGTGATGTTGTGCCCAGTATATGAACTGGGGGGAGCTGGCCTGGGGGTGGAGATTGCTGCTCAGGAATGAACTGGGCATTGGTCAACAAGTGGTGAGCAATTGCGTTGTGCATCACTTGTTTTGTATGTTCTGATCCTTTTATTAGTATTGTCATTTTATTAATGTTATTACCATTATTATTTTCTTCCTTTCTGTTCTATTAAACTGTTCTTATCTCAACCCATGAGTTTTACTTTTTTTTTTCCCCCAGTTCTTTCCCCCATCCCACTGGGTGGGGGGGGGAGTGAGTGAGCAGCTGTGTGGTGCTTAGTTGCTGGCTGGGGTTTAACCCTGGATGGTAAAAACAGCTGTCTGGTGCTTGGGTGAAGAGTGAGTGTTGTTCAAATATTCACTCTGTAGACATCAGGCATTTCTGTTTGTGCTGAATATTCCTACTTAGCACTTGTTTCACATTGTGCAAATGAAGTTTTGAGGCCTATTTAAAAGTTACCTGGGAGGACATGAAGGTAGGACATGTTTTTGTCCTTTGGGGATGGTCCTCCTCACTGTAAGAACAAATTTAAGACCTTTGGCCTGGGTTTGTTATACTTAACCTTGCATCTGAAGTGGAGTGGGATGAATCTTTGTCAACCTCTTAATTGAAACGAGGCTGTTTTTTAAAAATTGCTAAGGATTTCTTAGCTCTCTAGGAAGATGACAATAGGTAAAGATGCCCAATTTGAAACACTTCACTCTAGTTCATGCTGGGGAAATATCAGGAGGGTTTAGAGAGCAGGAAATTTCCAGTCCTATTCTTCCAGGTGCTGTGAGCACATGTTGATATTATTTTGGTACCTGTAGGGTAGGAATTGTTCTTGTGGCGTTGCCTGTTTTATCTGTTATTCAAGCTTCATTTTAGGATGCTGAATTTGATAAGTGGGAACTGACTCGGTTGCAGGAGCTTACCTGTTCTAATAGTGCCTTGGGTTAGCATCTCTGTGTTCTAAGTCTTGGTTTCACATTTAATATGTGCACTTGCTGCATCATCGTAGGTTTGAGACCACATCCATTAGTACAGCATCAAAGAACATTGATTTGTTTCTTTCATCTGCAATCCAGTTTATCTGCAGCATTTATCACTTCCTGTTTATGACTAATAACTGAATAATATGATTAGCTTGACCAGATTTGTATGATGAAATCACTAGAAAATTAAAGGAGTTCAGAGATCTTTCTGGCTTTGTTTTATAATTAGAGTACTCTCACATGCCCTATCTTCATCTGCTGTCAAAAGACATACAAACTGACCTGTTCTAATAACTAGCACCACAGTTTTGGTTTTAATTTCAGCTGGGAAAGTCAGACATGTGGTCAGAGTGTTCTGCTCTTTGAAGGCAAAGCAGCAGACGTTTTCCCAGCTCAGCAAAGGAAGCTTGCAGGCATTTCAGTAAGAATCAAAAAGCCAGAAACTGAAGTGCTATTTGGTGAGAAGGGAGGAGTGTGAGAGCAGGGTTGAAGGCAGCAGAAGGAAATCCTTTGGAACTCAGTGAAAGGTTGCAGGAGATGGTTCTGCTTCTGTTCATATTTTGCTTTCTGTGTGTAGCTGAAATCCTCTTTAGATTTCAGGGATCAAATCACTGCTGATGGTTGTATTTACCAGCATGATACAGGAGCTAACATGGATCTGTTGATTTTTTTTTTCCTTTTTGTTTCAGAGGTTTCAAAATGCATTGGTAGCTTACTTGTAAATCTCTTTGCTTTCTGAATGTGTGCTCCTTGGAAGGCTTACTTTAAAAACCTGATTACTTTATAGTGCTACATTTCAAGGGCAATAATTTCTTTAAAATATGCATGTCTAGCAGCTGTTGATTAATTCCTGGCTTTTAACCCAAAACTTCAGATGTAACTCCTTTTTAATGAAATGGTGAGAAAAGCCATGTTCAAATGATTTACATTTCCTGAACAACAGATAAATATATTGTTGACCAAATATTTCTTGTTCTGTAATTAAACTGTCTTATGTGACAGGCTAGAACAAGTAAATGGCTGATTTAATTTTTTCCTCCCATAAGTCAAATGAGTAGAATTCAGAAAGTTACCTCCCTCTCCATTAAATCATCCATCTGGATCTGTTATGCTTTACCTTCCCCAATATGGTAACAACTTGTCAAAAACTGCATTTCACCCACACTGCAGCTCTAGCAATGTATTAATTCCGCATTTGTCTGCTACAGGACAGTTGTTTTAAAACTGACACATTCTATAATGGCTAAGTAAAACTATAAAAGTTAAGACTAAAAAAAAAATTAGGTAATACATTAAAAATTTAGATAATATGGTATGGTATTATACCGTATAATAATAGTTTATCTGTTTATGTTGGCATATGTTGTGCCAAATGTGTTTTTCTCTCAACACACATAGCCCCTATGTGATTTCACTCCATTGCATTGATCTGACAGAGTGTCATCTAGCGTTGCCCCTAGAATTTGATAGCAAGCACTTAAGCACTTTGCCCCTGCAGCTCAATTCCAGGATTAGGGAGGCTGCTATACTACATTCTTGCATTTAGTCCATGAAGGTGTTAAGGGAAGAACTGTTAAGGCAAATGATTTCATTTGATCTAACGAAAATGGAGCAGTTAAAAAGTTTCAGTGGGCTGTCATTTGCTGATGGCTGTTGCTGTGTGTGCTACCTGTTTATTTTCTTGGGACAGGTCAGTAAGGCTTTTGTCAAACATCTATGTCATGAACTGCTGTTGTGATAAGTCCAACATACCAACAGAGTAGTTCAGCTGAGAATTAAGTCATATGAAGAAATCAGCTCAACGTTTCACTAAATGTCACAGCAAAAACTCTGTACAGTGCCTGCAGGGTCCAAATTATTGTACTGCAAGATGAGACTTTGAAGATACTATAGACAAATATATGAATGGAGTAAAAGAGGCACAGGATAGTTAATGTTTGCTCATCCAACTTCTGGTTGTGTGTTGTGTTTTTGCTTGAAGCGCTGGGTAGTACATGAGATCTGGATTGGTTGTAGGTATGTCAGGTGAAATGTGTGTAAAAAGTTTGTATTCTTCACTGTGCTGCTGCATAAGTAGTGAGTGGCTGAATGGAATTAGAACATAGGCAAGGGTTTTCACATTTTTCTGAGGCAGAGAAGAGCTAATATGTCATGGTGGAGTGGTTTCTCTTCTGCCAGCTCTTACAACTGCAGGATACTGCAAACTGCAACTTTGGAAGATCAGTTTGTTCTTAAAGGTAAGTGAAGTTTATACAATAACAGTATAATTAATGTGTGGGTATTTAATTGCCGCCAAATTCACTTTCTTCGTTCCCTTTTTTTTTTCTCCTTTCCGTTTTGTTGTAGGAAAGAGCTCAGGGTTCTGGACAGTTCAGCTAACTGTGCTTTATCCACTGTCCAGGAGCTGCTTAAAAACATGAATTTTCTGGTTTGGGGTTTGTTTTGTAATGGTGTGGATAGCCCATATTTTGCTCCTGTCGGACAAGCATCAATATTTGCTTGCATCTGTTGTTATGCTTCTTGTCCATGCACATTCTGTTACTAACAGGGCTTGTTGCCTTCTGCCTGTTCCTTGGAAATGGCCTCTGTCATTGCTGCTTGCAGGATCCTTTAAGGTCCCTGCTGGTTTCTTGACTTTTCTTTTATGGCTTATTAGTAGAGCTTGAATTGTTTCACACTGTTTTGTAGAAAATGACCTCTCCTAGCAATTATAAGTTTGGAGAGGAAGGATAACTGTTGTTTTAGCCTTTCACTAACATTTGAAAATCAGTATCTCTAAAAAAGTACTAGGTTAAGAAAAGTAGAAATGCAAGAGTTAATCCTGTGCTGTGTTTAAGAAAATACTTCTACTTTCTTACTTTGGACTCCTCTACTCCCCTTTCTGCTCATCCCCCAATTCTTTGCTGCTTCTAGCCTTAACTGAAATTAACTTTTTTTCTGATTCCCTAAAGTACAGATCTCTTGCTGGGAGAAGTAAATGTTAACTTTATACTTTCTCTGACTTTCATGCAGCATACTTATCTGGTGATGTCTGAAGATGAGGTCCACCTCTTCTCTTTCACTGCTTCCTGTAGTTGCACATAGTTGAATTGCTGCTAACTCACTCATCCAGTTAGTAATGGCAATTTTTTCTTCCAAATTGCAGACATCCCAAGCAAAAGCCAAGAAGAGTCTTGCACTGTTGGGTTTTACTATCATCTGATTCATGTTGGAGTGTATTTTAGCAGTCTGAAGCTGGCATTGCAGAGGTTAACTGGATCTCTGCAGAAGCAGCTATGCTACAGAAGACACATGGTGCTAATCACTGCCACTCTCTTCCTCCTTCCCATGTCACAGGAAATTATAACTGGATGACATAACAGTATCATCTGTCTTGTGTTATAAACGGTCAGGAGAGGAGGTTATGGGCAGAGTTAAATTACCAAAGTGGGAGACAAATCAGGTCAATACTCTTCCATTCCTTTTCCTACTGGTGGTATTGGTGACATCCAGTCTCTCAGAAAGCATACCATGGAGTCTTGATTTTTGCCTTCCCTACAATCCTGTGTGGCAGTAAGGTATTTGTCAGTTCTATATTCATGCATATTTTTTCATTGCAGACAAATTACACACCATCTTATGAAATCTGCCATAATTTAACATAGACTCCCCAAAAAACTATAAAAACTATCATTGTTGGCACATTAAAAGCATGAGCTATGACCAGCCAGCCTCCCTTATGTGATCCAGAACTTCTTTCATCTCTGCCTATGACGTGATTGCCAGAGGCAGTTTAACTTTGCATCTGGGAGAACCTCTGCTTTTTATAAAATGTAGATGTTCAGAGAAGCTGTTTTGAGGCTAATGAATAATAAAATAAGCTTACAACAGGGACAGCACAAAACTGTCCGGGTAGGCTACTGAATGCAGGTAGCAATTGCGGTTCATGATGATAATGCACAAAATGTGTACCATTCTCAGCATCTTTTTCTTAGGCTGCCACCAAAAGGAACATTTTTTTCCTGTCTCCTAGTCCACACATCCCATGCCTTGGATCTACTGATGGTGAAATAGTGTTGTGAATCAGTTCAGCTTGTTCATCTGATGGAAAGACTTCATTGCCAGAAAAGCTTTCTAAATCGATCCTAGTTCTCCATTGGACCAGTGAGCTAGTCAGATTGATTTATATAACCAGGTACCGGTCAGGAGGTGTAAAGCAAGAGGTAGTTCTTCCTCTGGAAGAAAGGAGAGAGCAAAAGAGACCTACTTCTGATCAGAGCTGTGTAATTAATGCATGCTAAACCAACCTTCCTGAATTGACGTGGGTTTTTGTGTGTTCTGTTACCGCATAATTTAACTGTCATGCTCTTCTCTTACTTTCTGTGATACCTGCTTTATCCCCCTACCTTTTTGTCTAGCTGAAACTTTCTTTGAACACAAATGAGCAGAGTTTTTTATGGCATCTGTATAAGGTCACTGCCTGCTGCCATGGCACGCAAATCTTTCCCAGTCTACCGAAAACACCTCAGCTGAGGAGTTACTTAAGGTCTTGTTTGCTTTCTCACACTTGTGTCATGTCAGTGCATAGGAACTAAAAAGAAAAAAAAAAAATCAACCTTGAAAGCAGTTGCCTGTTCCTCTTCAAAAGGTTTTTATATTTCGTTTTATCTTCTTTGGAGCTTTTTACAGCTATTCTGCAGCTACTTTTAAGAATTTAATGCTGCTGTTAAAAACAAAACATGTTATAGGGGCTTCTTGGTCATTTTCCCCACGAAGGCTTCTGTCAGCAGGTTTTGTTGGCCATAAGGAATACAGGATAAGGATGCACTGAAGATGCAGCCCAGCCAAGCCACCGTCCTGCTATTGAGGACCATGAGCTCAGTTCCCTGCCAAACTTTAGGCAAGGTTCTGCTGTGTGCTTTGTCCCCCCGGGGAAAGCATATGCCTTGTGGCCATTTGATGTACCTGGATGGTGTCCTTAATGCAGGAGGCAGTGGTATGGTACCAGCCCAGAAGCAGCAAGCCCTCCATGAAGACTGAGCTTGTCCAAGGCTGCAGTTAGGGCAGTGTCAGCTCTTCCAGCCTGGACTTAAGTGATGCCGCTTGTTGACCTTTGGTTTAGCCTGAGATGGAGCCAAGTCCTGTGTCTGACCCTGGATATCAGGTAGCCTGAGTTCTCATGCCAAGTGCCTGTGAGGGTGCAGGGTGTCAATATTCAGCACTTTTCACAAGTGTTTGGCTGTTAGAAGCTGAAAAATTATATTACAGGAGTTCATGATGAGACCTTTGTGTTTAGATGCTGTGCTCGTTCCAGGAGGTGCTTTTGGAGGAAAAGCTGTAGTGCTTTACGTAAAGCAGAGCCCATAGAAAAGAACCAAGCTGGAAATTTTAAATTGCAATTTTAACCTCAAAGCAGCTTCATTGTCTGGACTTGGTGGACATTCTTGCCTTTCTTGGCCACCTATGTCTTGTGGACGGTGTTACTAATGCTGCTCTCAGCACAGATAGAGCTTTGAGCCTGTGTTACCTGCATCTAACTCAACTTTTTTTCCTTTAAATCTGCTGATGTAGGAATACATTTTTGTTCTGGGGTTTCCTTGAGAGACATACCATGCCCTTACGTCCTGTGAGATTGAAGCTATCTGCAAATGCAGTAAGTTCTGTTGTAGGGTGTACTGCAGACATGCTGTCTGCTGTGTCTGTGATACAATTAAAAGCCACAGTCACCCATTTCTGACCACATGGGCTTATTTTGTGCTCTTTGTTGAGGACATGGATAAACCAGGTGGGGAACTGTTGTTCAACAAGTCCTGCACCTCAAGAACCAGAGTCATCTGATAATTTCTTCCATTGCTTATGAGCTTTATCTGCACACTGGGTAGTGAGCTTCTGGGAGCTGCTGCAACAAGATATTATGATTGCAGGCAGCATCAAGAGGTGTGGGGAAAAAATAATCAGTCAACAGACGTATAAATGGATACTAAAAGGACTAGGCAAGGATATACCTTCTAATGTCTGTAATGCAACATCTGAGAGGGAGGGGATGAGGAGTGCAGTGCAGAGAGTAGCCAGGCTTGTTTGTTCTTGAATGGCATCTCTTTTGCCACGTTTTTGTTGGAGACAAAATATGGTGCTGGGTTTGATCTGACCGATTAGTGTAGTTATGCTGTTGCAGGGGGTCCGGGCTCCTGGAAGAACAAAAGTGATAATGCCAATAGTGACAACTGAGCTTTCATCTGTGGTGTGAATGGAATAGATCACCAGTATTACTCTCTGCATGTATTTATCCTGAATATGGAAGTTCCTCTCCCGTAGTATGTTATGCTGTAACAGTAGTAATCTGTTTTCTGACCCAAAGCCTGTATGTTCTGATCTTCTTCAGACAGACGAATGGCGTCTAAGCTGCATCAATAAGGAATTCTCTGTCTGTCCCTCCTACCCTCCGGTTGTCATTGTCCCCAAATCCATCGATGATGAAGCGCTTCGGAAAGTTGCCATGTTTCGCCATGGCAGTCGCTTCCCAGTCCTCAGCTATTACCATAAGAAGAATGGGATGGTAAGATGCATTTGAGTAATGGTTGTACCTGAAGGAAGTGTGTGAATCTGTCTGTTTAATGAAAAAACAACTTGTGCTCTAGACTTAATACAGTTCATGAGATGTTTGCTTGTTTTATTTTCCAGCTTACTAAGTGTATGCAATGAAACTGGTTCTGGGTGATGGAATGAGTAATCTCCATCCTAGAAATAGCTATTAATCTGCTTGTTTGGGAGTGTATGTGGCATGAGCTTGCTCACAGCAGTAAGATCAAGATGAGACTTGTAAAGCCACTGCTGGCACCCTTACTTGCTTTGTCTGCCAAGAGGCTTCATGCTGAAAGGATGGCAGAAACCACATTGTCCTGTCTCTGGGTGGTGGGCTGTCTCCTTCGTAATGGAGTCATGATGACAGCAAGCATGCCCAGAGCCAGCACTGCTTCTGCTGTGTAACTGTCGAAGGAGCGATCAGAACAATCTGTTCTCTGAGCCTGTCGGTATAACATGTTTCAGGAGTAGCAAATTCTTGGTGTTGCGCAGACTTTACCACCTTTTGACAAGCCAAAATCCGAGTGATACACTATAATTAAGAAATGCACTTTGTGAAATTGTTGAGTAATTCTTCGTATCTCTTGCTGATATAACCAGTTCTGAGGATGTTGGGATGTCCAACCTGTGGCTTGTAAAATTAATCCAGGCTTCTCAGTCAAATGCTCTAATGTGTTCTCGCTCCTGTTGCCAAGATTTGTAAGCCCTGAATTAGAGGATGTCTAGTCTGACTTAGTAGTACCTTTGGGGTTTTTTGCTTTGCTTTAAAATCAGCCATCCATCAACTTCATAACAGTCGTGCTTTCTGCTTTTTTTCAGCTTGACTGAAAACTGTTGAAGGAATATTTGTTCAATTATGTCTCTGAATTGTGCATGTTTCAAGTGTGAGGAATATAATAGCATTTGGCTCAGAGTGCTTGAACTCGTGACAGTAACGCTGTCTGTCACGTTGCTCTCCTGACTCTGAGTTCTCGAGCTCAGTTGGGGTTGCTGACTGGCTGCCCTCACATTTTAGTTATCATTTGAGCTGCTGGGATGCTTTCTGAATTGAAAGGCATTTACTAAAGAGAAACCTCAGCTCATAAATCTGTGCACCTAAGGTTTATTAGTCTAGCCACTGGGTAAAACTGTACCTAAGAGGCTTCTTTAACACATGACTGACTTGAGTGTTTTAAAAACAGAGTTGGGAAGAGATGTTAAAGATTACAATCCTGGAAATGTTGGTTCGTAAAGGAGCCATCAGCAGGAAAGCCAGTTCAGTGGCTCACAAAGGTGGTACTACAGGAATAACTAAAGGGGTAAAGCCTCTAAGATGATGTCTGCAATTTAGAAAGTGGCCTGCCAAATGATCACTCAATTCAAGGATTTCTAGTTTGTTTTTTAAATACATTAAGTCACTGCAAGGGACTGTACTTAAAAGAACTGAAGGATTCAGGGCAAGGGAGAACAGCAGCTGTAGGAAGAATTAGAGATGTTTCTGTGCATCAGGCAGTGCAGATCAGGGCATTTGCTTGTCTGTGTCCAGGTGTGGTGGATTGAACTTGAAGCAGATGGCAGTAGGAAGTGCGGTGGGGTGAGAGCTGCACTTGCTGGTGCAACTCCACAGAGAAGAGCTGGAGAGCCAGGAGAGCCCCACTTAATTTTCCCCCTGAACTGATGGAGGAAGCTTTTTAAGGTTGAGCTATCTCACTCCCGTAGGCATTCTTACAGTGACCTGAGTTTTTATGGAAAATAGGAGTATCCTGTGTGAATTTCAGTGGCACGCTACTCTAGAGAGCCATTCTCCATACCTGGTGTTGGGACCCAGTGACCTAATGCATGAGTTTGCAGTCTGTATTTACAGACTCCTAAGAAATCCTCCAGTGGAGGGGTGTCCCTTGCATAGTGAGTTTAAACTTCCAGTTCTTGTATTGGAGCTCAAGTGATGGGTGACTTTCAGTCTTAAGTCTCTACATTTCCAGTGCCTAATTCATGGTTATTTGTACCTGTAGGTCATGATGCGAAGTAGCCAGCCTCTTACAGGTACAAATGGGAGGCGGTGTAAAGAAGACGAGAAGCTTATTAATGCCACGCTACGGCCTGGCAAGCGTGGCTACATCATTGATACGAGGTCCTTGAATGTTGCCCAGCAGGCCAGGGCCAAAGGAGGGGGCTTTGAACAAGAAGCGCACTATCCCCAGTGGAGGAGGATTCACAAATGTATTGAGAGGTGGGTGAAATCACACAGGCTCTCCTCTGTGCTTGGCTTTGTAGGGTTGCATTGGCAGAGCCATGCTAGCTCCATAAAGTATTTGCTTCTGTAAGAAGTGGCTGTGTATCCTGGTTCCTGTCAACAGGGTCACATTCCTTTTTTTGGCAAAATTGGGTATGTAGATGATAAAGGTATTTGGCTTTGGAAAGCTGTGTTTGGTTCCTTGTTCTGAACAACCTGCTGCAGGTTTCAGACATCAGGCCATCTCCCTGTGCCATCTTTCTCTGACCATCTATAGCTGCACTCCAGCCTTCCTGTGTTCCCCTTTGCAGTAGTGCACAGGAATGAGCAAGTCCCTTGCCAGAAAATTTCTGCAGGTGAAGATTTGTTCTGCGGCAGTCACGCTCGTCTTACCCAGTACTTTTCTCTGGATATCTAATATTGTTTGGTCATTTGGAGACAAGTTACTAAGTTAAATAGGCTTTTAGTCTGGCTTTGTTCAGCTGCTCTTAAGCCTTAGTTTTAGGGAATCCTTCTACATGGGCATGCAGTAATGTTACTGGAGCTATCGGAAAGCAGTGACTCCCCGCATCACTGTATAGGCCAGCTCCTGAAGAGCTAATATAAGGAATTTCCTGGTCATTACTTTGAAGTATTTGGGTTTGCTTCCAAAAATTTTATGCGTACTTAAGTTTGATGTTGATTATTCTACAGGTGGACAAAGCATCAGATAGAGAGGAATGAATAAACCTCAATATATGAAGACTAAATATCTCGTGCTATTATTACTTGGCTTCATCAGCTTTTCTGAGATCTAGTCTGCTAGCGGCATCCTCTATTAGACCTGAGCACACACTGGAATTTGTGTCAGTAGTTTGGTGCCCCTGTAAGGCACAGTGTGAAACAAGACCAGAGAAGCATCTGGTTTTATCAGCTGCTTGCTCAATACCAGCTTTCCAGGGCTTGAGGAAATAATGCAACAAATGCAGAAGTGATACAAAATGTGTTCCCTCCCCCCCAGTTTTTCTTACATTCTTAAGAAATTAGCCAAACTAATCTTAGTGCGGCTCTACATTGAGAAGTTGAGTCTAGTTTAAAATTTCCGGTGTTACAGTGGAGTTGTGTCCTTGTGATGGATGGCTTTCAGATTACTGTTGCAGCTCTACAGGTTAAAACTCCACCCAAACTTCTGGTGTAGTACAGAGAATGAAGGTGGAGCACTTGAAGCTTGGCTGACACTTGCTACTGTCCATGCCAGGTTGCAGTCACACTTGTATTTGGTAATGGGAGTGAGACTACTGAAACACATTTTATATGGAAAGTGTAAGATATGGCTGAACACACACAGGGTTCAGGTAAGATAAGGAAAAGGCCCTACTATTTTAATGCCTTATGAAGCAACTTGTTTTGAAAGGTAAGAGACTTCTTATGTCTAGAGAGTGGTATTTTGCTGGCAGTTAGCCATGGCTTGGCATTACCAGTGAAAGCAGGTTTGCTGAATGAGGACACATGACTTCTATAGGGTTGTACTTTTTGAAATAACTGCATGTAACTTGTAGTGCTTTATTTTGAGATCAGTGTATTTCTGTGAGGATGTTGTCCTGGTTGCTATATTACTGCTTATGTTTTCAATAATATTTTGCTTTTCCCAAAGGTTTAATATTCTGCAAGAAAGCCTCATCAAACTTGTGGAAGCTTGTAATGACCAGTCGCACAATATGGACCGCTGGCTCAGTAAACTGGAAGCTTCCAACTGGCTGACTCATGTCAAAGAGATACTAACTGCAGCTTGTCTAGCTGCTCAGTGCATTGACAGGTAAATCTTTTTCAGAAAGCCTTGAGTTTTTAATTCACTCATTACAGATTGCTTGTGAAATACCGCTTTTTTCACTTTAAGTATTATAACCGGCCACCATGAACTGGCTTGCTTGTACCCATGCAAGATACTGTTTCATCATGGTTAAGGAATGTTCCTCCAGTAAATCATGCTTGCATTTTCAGAAGTACAAGCCTGAGGGAGGAAGTCTTGACTAAGAATAGGTATTAGATCATCTAGTTAAGGTATAATCCTATGCCTGATGCAGCCAATACAATTTAGTTATTTTTATTGAAGTTTTAGGTTAGAATCATCATAGAATGGTTTGGGTTGGAAGGGACCTTCAAGATCATCTAGTTCTAACCCCCCTGCCATGGGCAGGGACACCTTCCACTAGACCAGGTTGCTCAAAGCCCCATCCAACCTGGCCTTGAACACTGCCAGGGATGGGGCATCCACAACTTCTCTGGCCAACCTGTTCCAGTCCCTCACCACCCTCACAGTGAAGAGCTTCTTCCTTACATCTAACCTAAATCTACCTTCTTTCAGATTAAAGCCATTAACCCTTGTCCTATCACTACAGGCCCTTGTAGAAAGTCCGTCTGTGGCTTTCTTGTCGGCCCCCTTTAGGTACTGGAAGGCTGCTATAAGGTCTGCCTGGAGCCTTCTCTTCTCCGGGCTGAACCACCCCAACTCTCTCAGCCTGTCCTCATAGGAGAGGGCATTCCAGCCCTCTGATCATCTTAGTGGCCCTCCTCTGGACCCACTCCAACAGGTCCATGTCTGTCCTGTGCTGAGGACCCCAGAGCTGGACGCAGGACTCCAGGTGGGGTCTCACCCGATCGGAGCAGAGGGGCAGAATCCCTTCCCTTGACCTGCTGGCTGCGCTGCTTTGGATGCAGCCCAGGATACGGTTGGCATTCTGGGCTGCAAGGGCATGTTGCTGGGTCACATTGAGCTTCTCATCAACCAACACCTCCAAGTCCTTCTCTCAGGGCTGCTCTCAAGCCATTCTCCACCCAGCCTGTATTTCTGCCCATGTGAAATGCTGTTTGGTAGTGCTAGTAAAGTGAGAACAGAGAGTCTTTTAAAAAAGTCCTTTTTTTTCAGCTGAAAGTTTACAATACCTTGCTTCTAGTGATTAAAACAATGGCATTTCCTTGTTTTCCACAAGAAATTGTCCCGTGCTTTTTCCTCTTAAAATTTTTATCCCCATAGTCCTATCTAAGCAATCCTGTTCATCATTTGTAAGTGCTTGTGACCTCTTTTAACCTGACATTTCTTTAATAAATACTGCTGACTTGGCTAACTTGTCCTCAAAATGTCTTCAGACCTCAGCCTGGAGAGCAAAAGCTAGCTGTCAGGTGCCAGGAGGGTTTGTAAGACCAAATGCAGGGGTCTAAATGTGTTTTCTTTGTGGCTCTTGAGCGGTGAAAGCCCTTCTCAAAACTCAGGGAAAACCTCACTTTTCATACCAGCCAGGCAATGTGTTATACAGATACACAAATAGGCTGAAATGCAGTCTCATTGGTAAAACAGAATTACTGCATTAAAATATGAGCTGCTGTGCTTTTTAAAAGCACTGACAGTGCCTACTTAGTTATTGACTGTGCCAGAAAAGGATTGCTCTTGATCAATAGTTTTATCTGTAATTCTTTTCTGCATGTGTATAATGAGAAAGATCAGTGACGAAACTCTTCTGGCTTGTTGGGACAGTGGACAATTTCATCATTTTTAACCTCAGCTTTGCTTTTTCTGTTTACCTGGCACTGTGGCAGGCCAGCTCAGCATTGGTGCCTGGCCCACCTCATTCAGAGGCTGGAGGTCATAGCTGAGCTGACAAGGGTGGTTCAGTTATATTGGCCGTGGGGAGGGAATGGCTGGGCCAGATCTTGCAGCATCTTAAAGGTCTGGGGCCTGAAAGATGAAAGGGGAAATTAGTGTTATCCTGGTGTGCCCCACTGAGGAGTGCATAGGCTTGCAGTTAGCCTTTGCAATTGTGCTTGGCTGTTAAGCAGCCTCTTTATCTGCCACTGCCTGGGGAGAGGGAGAGAGTATCTGAAGATTATCTGTACTGTAGAGGGACTGGGTTTGTTTTAGACATAGGACTATAGACAAAGATGTTGCAATATTCAAGGTAGAGATTTTTATTCTTTTCACATCAAAAAGCGAGTAATGTGTGCAGGGTTACTTGCTTGGTAGATCTTTCTTATCCATGCTTTGCTGCTTAGGTTGGGTCTCTGCACAGAAAGAAATACAACCTGCAGTTAATTTCCTTTTTGAGTGTAAGGATGTGGCAGAAGTGAGACATTGAGTCAAGGTTTGGGAATAGTAAGGGGAATAAACACCATTTAATACCATCCAGTCCTTTCTTCAGGAGCACATGGATGAGATTGTGATACTGTATCCAAACACAGCCTAGGATGGAGGAAGACGGGAGGGAATCGGCTGTCCTGGACAGTCCCTACTGAAGTATGGGGAGTGATACCACATGGGCCCCTAGCAAGGTGCAAAACCTTCCTGCCCCAAACTCTGAGCTCCCTCTGCTCCTCACATTGTTCTGCTGATTCACTTGTGCTGGCTGGTGAATGAGGAGCCTTTGTGCTTGGCTCTTTGACAAGCTTCTCTGCTCAGCACACCAACTCTGCAGCCTTTGTGGAAGCCAAGCTCTGCCATTTCTTTCTTTCTCCCGAACTGGCTTATTGGCTTACTTTTCTTGCAGTAAACCCCAATTAAGGCCCAAATGCAATTAAGCCCAGGTTTGAGCATGAATCTCATAGTATTGTTTTGCAGAGCATCTGAGGGGATGATATGTCTTCATTGCAGTGCTTATGGGAAGATTTCAGAGTGCTTAGCAAAACAATAAATGACACAAGCAAATTTTGAGGTGCATTTCCATGCTATAACTCAAAGAGTTACCAATTCAAAATGGTGAGAACCACAAAGGAGATCTCACTGTGCATCTTCTGTCAACGTGGCAAAGGGTTGGGATTTCCAGAATGCTTAGCAAGGACCTAAGCCTTAAGTGATGCAGAGCTCTGGCTAGTGTTGGTGAGGATCCAGGTGGAGAAGGTGGTATGCTTCTGTGTGGGGTGGGGAGGGAAGAAGGGGTAGAGAGCCAGCAAAACCTCAGCATTGTCAGGGTGGCGACACTGGTGTCCATGGATGTCATGGCATCCATTGGGATGCGTGCATCCTTGGGATGTGTTCTGCTCATTCATATTCTTATTCCTTTCTGCCTTTTTCTTTGACAGGGAAGGTGCATCAGTGTTAGTCCATGGGACTGAAGGAACTGATTCAACACTCCAGGTGACTTCTCTGGCACAGATTATCTTGGATCCAAGGTGCAGGACCATACGTGGCTTTGAATCTCTTGTTGTGAGGGAGTGGCTGCAGGTAAGAAATGCCTATGGACAAAATGGCAATCTATTCTAGCGACAGTTGTATTGAGAAATAGCCTGAGAGGCAGCAAACAGGTTGGGCCTTGTTGCAGCCCTGCTTAGTGTGAATGGCCTTTGTCTTAAGAGCAACATCATTAACTGAGTCATTTGTATCTCTGACACTTTGCGGGGCCTCTGCCTCTTATGGCAGTTTTTTGGTTTGGGGGAGCTGCCTGTTTTGTGTGCTCAGGGTGAACATCTCTTTAGAGAACACTATTCAGACTAAACCACAAAACTTTAGTTCTACTCTTTGTATTTCTGCAGCTAATGCCCTCAGCCTGGTCCTTTGGTGCACCTACACCAGTTTGTTCTTAGTAAAATTCTCTGATCAAATACAGGGCTATTTACATAACCTGAAAAAGGCAGCAAAGTTGGTCATGGTCACTAGCAGTTTGTTACTGGATGCTTGATGAAATTACAGTTGTAGAAAAGAGCAATAATAGCATAGTTGCATGGACAGAACTAGCTCTAAAGTCTGTTTGCTACATGTACTCACATCCCATTACTTTGTGTGTGATGCTTTCTCTGATTCTTATGTATAGGCTGGTCACCCTTTTCAGCAGCGCTGTGCCCAATCAGCCTATTCAAATAGCAAGCAGAAATGGGAGGCCCCAGTGTTTCTCCTCTTTTTGGACTGTGTGTGGCAAATCCTTCGTCAGTTCCCTTGCTCTTTTGAATTCAACGAACAGTTCCTCATTATGCTCTTTGAACATGCTTACGCTTCACAGTTTGGGACTTTCCTGGGAAACAACGAAAATGAAAGGTTGGTGAGGATGCTTGCTTTGAACCCTTTAAATATCTGTATCTGACCAAAAAAAAGTCTCTTGGTTTGAAAAAGGGTGAGGGCGCTTCTGTGGTCTCCGTTAGCACAGGTGAGCCTCTCTTGTTGCAGTTATGTAGGCTGATGCAATGTTAGGGAGTTTGTCCCTCTTACAGGTGGGACTGTGTGACTAAAATTTGTGGCATGGTTAGGGAGTTGAATTAGTCTTCTCCAAGTCCAAGCTAATACCTTAGATTGTCTTTTCTGTTTCCCTGTGTGGCCTTGAAAAATCTCCACCCATCACCGGTTTATATAGTCTCTTACACAGAAACTCTTTCCATAAAAGAATAAATAAACAGCTAGAGTTCAACAATGATGTGAGTCATAGCTGAGGGAAGCAAAATTGTCCGTGCAGGCCTGGAGGAGAAGGTCAAGGCAGTCACAGGCCAAAGCTGGAAAATCTGGTTCTTACCTTGTCAGGGAGGAACATGACTCTGTAACCTGGTGGTCCTGATGCCCCCAGGAAAGGAAAGCTTTGGTTTGTGCATCATCCATTAACTGTTGAAAGTGGAAACTGTGGAAGATGCTCTGTCAGAAGAATCTGCCTCATAGTTACACCTTGGCAAAAGCTTTACTTGTTTGGCTCTGGGCATCACAATTAGGTTTGAGGTCTCTTTGGCCGTGCAGTAGTACAACTTCACCAGAAGGACCAAAAATCCCTCCAGCTGTAACCTGTGACTTGGAGAAACATGAATTGGCAATCTGCACTGGCTGAGGTTCTGAGCAAATGCTATGAGCTCTGAGATGGATGCTTGTGCAACTTTGAAAGAAAGCAGCCAGGACTGCATTCTGCTGGAGTCTACCTTGTCTGGTAATGATAGGCCTGTGCTGAGCTTGCTTACAAGCTTGTGGCATTTAAGGCACTTGAGCAGACCAGCACCTAGCTTCTGAATCCTAGCCTGGGTTAGATGCTGTGCTGTACTGGTGGGGCAGCTCTAGGCATGCCCTGAGTAGGGCTGCTAGGAGTAGCAAACAGGGTGGAGCCCTGGAGGACTGGAGCCTCCCGCAGCAGATGGCAGCTGCCAGAGAGGTTTGGATTCCTGTTTTGAACTCGGCAGTTCTCCTCTCGGGACTCCTGACCCCGGTAAGACCATGTCTGATGGTCTCCTGCTTAACTGAAGACCACTGAATGAGTAGAAGGCAAAAATAGAACTGATATTACAGATAAGGAAAGCAATTTAAAGCTTCCTGTAAACCTCTCTGCCCTTAAAGTAATCCTTGCTTAGAAGAGACTCTTCTGTCTTCTGCAGGGCTGCTGAACTGGTCATCTGCAAAACCAAGTTAGACTTGAAACCAGTAAGATGAAATTTGAAAGAGCATTCAATGTTACATGTAATAACCTGCCTGTCACATCTGAACATGTCAGCCTGTGAGCACAGAAAATGTTTGAAGTCTGATGTTAAGCTTGTGCTGTCAGAAGCATTCACAGGGATGGTGAATCTCCTGCCTGGGTGGCAGTTCAATTTGCTAGTGCATACAGAATGAGGTTTGCTAGAATCTAAGGAATAGAGACCCCTGTGTAACTCCTGGAGTTGGGTTTGACCCAGGAAAACAGCAGTGATTTCTCTCTGTGTTTGGATGCTTCCTGCCACTGGAGGGACCTAATCAGACGTGCCCATCGCACAATTCCAGCAATAACACTGCTTTAATGTACTCTGAGAATTGCACTACGATCCTTTCTTGATGCAGCCCTACCATACCTTCCAGCTCTATCTTAACACAGGAGTTTAATCCCTTTCAAAACCTGGCAGTCGAACCACTTTGGGGAGGTGACTGATTCTTCATCTGGACAGAAGGCAGCTAGCTTCCACCCAACTTATAAATGTTATTTCCCTGTCTTTTCTTTGAAACTAACTGTAATTGGCCAGGTTGAGTAAATTGCGTTAGGTTTACAGCCTGTGCTGTGTTGGTGAGAGGTATTGAAGGGATTAGCCTGAATTGTCTGAGCTAGCGGCATGTGGAAAAGCTTGTGGCCTTCTAGTCTGCAGGGTTCTGACAAAATGAGTCTTTACAGTACAAAAGTGAAAGCTAACTTGTTCCCCTGGGTTTGTTAGGTCTAAACTGAAGCTGCCGCAAAAGACTATGTCCCTGTGGTCCTGGGTGAACAGGTCTGAAGAGCTGAGCAAATTCCAGAATCCTCTTTTTGAGGCCAACAGCCTTGTCATCTGGCCTTCCGTTGCCCCACAGAGCCTGCAGCTCTGGGAAGGTAAGCCAGGCTTGCTTTTTTTATTACAGGCAATATATATTTTGTGGCTACTTGTAAAGCTTCTTAAGTGTTCACTGCTGTTCTCTGCTCTGTGTTTAGTCTATCTCAGCTGATGGTGATCTCACTCCCTTTGAAATCTGTTCCAGAATATTTTTGGCATGTGCCATCCCCAGAGGCATAAATGCTTTCTCCTTCTAAGGTTTGGTGACATGCCGCTCTTTGCCAGGGAGCCTTACTAGTACCGTTTAACTTCTTAGGCTATATCACTGCAGAAGTACTGTGCTAACCTATAGATGTTCTGCAGGCCTCAGGCTTTTTTTCTGTATCAGCCAAGACTTCCCATTCTCTGTTACTGACCATGTTGGCCAGGGTGGTCTCTGTGCAGTAGCTTCCCTGCTGCAGAAAACTTCTCCATCCCATGTATGCTGAAGAGTTAATTACAGTGAAGCAAGCAGGCTGTGATGGCAGGGTAGAGGCTGACTATGGATTGGTCTGATCAGTATATGAGAAAAAAGGAATGAAAACCCTTCAGTTTTCCTTTATTAACCTTGTTTAATGGAATGGTGAACTTAGAGAGGAGGGTCAGTATTTCTAAATGCTACTTAGCAGGGAGGGTAAGGAAAAAATGCATAAACTGTATGCACATTACTTGAGAGCTGATGGAATATAAATAATGTTTCCTCCTTGTAACAAGAAACCCTTCTCACTTGTGCTGTCTCTGGGCTTTCAGGTGTCTTTCTTCGGTGGAACAGGCCTTCCAAGTTCCTAGACGAAGCCCATGAAGAAATGATCAACATTATAAAATACAACAAGGAACTTCAGGCAAAGGTTAATGCATTGAGGAGGCAGCTAGCACAGTTGCAAACAGCTGATAGGATGCAGGAGAACCTGTGAGTTGGCAGGGCTTCGCCTCAGGTCTTGCCTTTCCAGTCCCCTTTACGTTAAAGACTATACATGGAAAGTGCATGTATTGCAGAGCCCTCTGGGTACAGCTGACCCTCAGTCCTCCCACTGCTGAAACCTTCACTTCACGCTATGTACCTCCCTGCTTTTTGGGAGGGATTTCTGTTTTGTTTACAGAAGACATACACAACTGGGCATAGTGTCCTCTCTTGGCAGCTCTTCTGTCTCGAAATTGAATACAGTGTCAGCAGAAGCTGGAACTCTAACCTCAACCCAACTGTATGGATGACCAGGATGGGCCAAGAGACTGGATGTTTCAGATTTATTTTGGACTTTTTCTGGTTTTGTTGAACTCTCTAAACACTCGGCAGGATTAAAATACAAAGTTATGTACAGATAGGTAAAGGCTTTTTGTCTGAAAGCACCTTTTCTCTCCAAGAGTAAGTAAGGCAGCTTAGTTCTTTAGTTTCCTGGAAAAACTAGAAAATGGTATAATCTAACTACAGGTTCTACCAGTCTATATGATACTCTCAGTAGCCTTCACATCTAACACTTGTTTTTTTGTGTTAAGCATTGGCTTGGGAGCAGTAAGTTGAACACCAAACCAGAGCAAGAAATTTCAGTGCAATACAGAACTGAAGTAGGGATTCTGCTGCTAGTGTTTAAGCCATGACCTTCAGGTGGAATTGTCCCTCGTGGACAAATATCTCCTAAGGAACAACAAGCTTTTTTTTTTTCATTCTACCTGGAAAACAAAAAGGTTAAGTAGTTGGTGGCGGTGTTCACTTGCAGAACAGTGGCTCAGAGCTGTTCTTTTAACTAGAGCCAAGCTGCCCTCTTGAAACTTCAGACTGTACTGGCTGTTTTTGTACACTTGAACAGGTTCACAGCACTGCTAGGGTGCAAGAGCAGCACTTAATGTACAACTCAACAAAACACTTTTGCTCCACCTGGTGTGCTTTTTCCTCTCATGCTCTTACTACACGTTTTGTGAAACTTCAAAAGCAGAAGTTAGGAGTTGAGGTGATCTAATGTATCAGGTAGCTGCTGCAGATTAAGAGGCCACCACACTACAAAAAATGCTAATAGTTTAGGTCATTTGTAGCTGCTAAAACTGCTTAAAGACTTTAGGGATAAGCTTTTTTTTTTCCAAGTAACTTTGTATTTTGTAGCTGATCTTTGTGTTTCTGTGAATGCAGTCTGCTTTTATAAAATCAGAGGTTTTGCTAGAGATTTTTTTTCTCCTTTAAAAAGACACATAAGAGTGGGTCTGAAATATTAACTCACTTAGGCATTCGTTCAGCTTGATTCCATTAGTAGCTGTACATGACTGAGAAGACTTGAATTAACAACAGCACATGTGGCTGGGATTATCTCAAAAGGCGCTTGCTGTTAGCCTATTTCTATTGAAATGAATGGAGCTGCGTTAGGTCAGTGTCGATCTCTTCGGAAACTGTTGAGCTTCCGTGACACTTTATGCTGTTTTGGAATGAAGCTGCCTTTATTTAAAAGCCACTTCACAAAGATAGATATATGTGAAAATGCAGGATCTTTAGTCGTCATAGAAGTATCTGGATAACAATCTGCAAAAATCATGTAACCACTAAATATATTCTAAGAAAAGTTCTATAATCAAGGAGGCTATATAAAATTATGTGATAGTGATTAAGTGCTACCTTAATGCCTTTTGATTCAGTCCTTATTTCCTTAATTATGTTCTTCTCAACTAACCTAAACTTAGTCCTAGAGTCATCTGGCTTAAAAAATAAAAAGATCCCTTTTAAACTATTGTTCACTTAAGGCAGAAGAATTAATTCCCCCCTACTTGTAATACCAGTTTCTTTTTAGGTTTGGAGAGCGACAGTCTCGTTCACTAAATCAAATCTGACATAAAGAATGCTTCTCAGGGTGGCTGGTGATTGGTACCACGCAACAGGGGAGGCACAAGTTGGCCATGCCTTCCACCTCCAAACACTGGCTTCTGGAGCTACCTTCTGGATATATTGCAAATGTAAGCCCTTAAAATTATTGCTCACCCTTTAAGATTATGTCTGTGGGATCTGCATCTGCCTGGGTGTTGTATCCCTATCCAGTTCAGAATTTCTACTGTTCCTGTACATCTAAAATACATTATCACTAGCCAGATGAGAAGGATTCAGAAGGCACTATTTTCCCCATAATAGACTATACATAAAACACACGTAAAGGTTATGTAATTTCCTAACATAGTAATTATATATTGAGCTAAATAATAGAGAAGCAAAGGGGTGGGGTTTTTTTGATCTAATTGCCTGGCTGCTCTAGTCTCTTGTGCAAACTGCAGGCATCTGAGGAAATTGGGCAACCAGCTGTGACAGCTAACAAAAGGCAGAAAATTCTCTCTGAGCTGGCATTTCATCCTTGACTTGTGTTTCAGGACTGAATCCACACCCAAGTGCTGTGTGCTTGCCTTGGCTTAGTGGTAGTGTGGATCACAGCCTTCATGTGAAAATGCTAGTGTTATTCTGAGCAGCCACAGCAGTTTCTTCCCCAGTTCCTCTGCCATGCATCACCTTGTATTCACAGCAAACAGCAGGAGCTGGAGGCTTAAGTTAACCTGCAAATAATCACCTTCATGAGACGTTACCTGGAGCGGTCCAGCAAGGTATTGCACGTGATGGAGTTGAGATGAGATGTGTGGACCCTTGCAGGTCCTCCTGGGAGCAGACAGTTCACAGACCTCTTATGTCAGGCTACTTGTACGTTCTCTTTTAACCTTTTCATTCCCAGTGCTTCCCAGGCTCCAGTCAGGTGGCTACTGGTAATACACACCAGAGCACTCCAGGTCTTTGCTTACCTGCATGTCCATCATATTTAATCACATATTTAATATTGATGATCAACTTGCTTGCTCTTAGAGGGGGGGATGTCTGCTGGACTCTGCCACAAGAAGTCACTGACACCCTGTTTGCAGGTTACTTGTGTCTTCCTGAGCTGTAAGCACTGTGGCAGTGCCCAGCTCTGGCTCTTCAGTCTGACACTGCCTTACGCTCTCGCTGACACCCCTGCTTCTGCTCTTTTGCACATAGCTATTTGTGTAATAAGCTGGACACTGAGGGCTGCCTCCCCCAAACTCTGGGGTCAATCAATGTGGACACTCTGCCATTTACCAAAAAAAAAAAAAAAAAAATAAAAGGGAAAAGGAACTAACTTGCACAGTTTTCGTAAGGGAATATGTACCTTCAATATTTTGATTGTATTGATCTAACTCTTGAATGTGGCGACCAGTTTAAGTGCACTATTGTCCATGTTGCATATGATATAACTTAAATTGCACTGTACAGCATATTGGCGTCTAATGTATGCTTTGCTAAAGCCTTGGAAAGTGCTATCGTGTACAGGTTCCTGTATGAGGGGAAAATGTCTACACTAGCACTCCCTTTTTTTGTAACTGTGTGACATTGAGTAGCACTGTGTGACTTGTGCTATGTATCTGTTAACTAGTACAAATTTAAGTGATGAGTGCACTTCTGTCCAAACATCTGGAATTGCTAATTGGACTTGGCTGCTGCATCAATCTTGATTTATTTTATTTTTTTTTAAACGAAATAAGTAACAGGGCTGGGAGTTGTGTGCTATTGTTAGATGTATGCTGTATGTGTACAGAATCCCAGCCACTGTGGTGTTGAATATATTGCAAAAAAAGTGAGGAAAAACTATCATGGCTCAAATTGTGTAGCCATTTGGGGGGGGAGAAAAACAGATACAAAGTGGCTGTAAACTTTGCTGTAGATATGTTGAGAACATAGTAGAAACGTCTGTTCAAATTAAAACCTTGAAGACTCTAAAAAGTTCTTTAATTACAGTGCTGAATCTTCTTTTTTAGTACTGCCTTCACTTTTCATTGGAGGGGGGTGTGTGTGTGACTTGGATGTAAGCTCTTGCCTGAAACTTTCTTTTACAGCTGAACACATGCTGTGATGGTAGAAGAGGGCTTTGTGCTGCAGGGCTGTGTGGAAAGGAGAAGGTTGAGACCCTGAGTCTGTGCATGGCTTGCAGAGCTCTGCTCCCATGATTTTGGTCCTTTGACACCAGCTCTGCACATGATGGATAAACAATTCAATGAGCTAAGATTTTATGCTTGTATTGAACTCTCTAAAGGAAGGCAGATGCCTTCAAGGGGAGAGTGGTTGAGACTGAAGCAAAACCTTGCAAGAAGTCCATCAGTAGACCTGGGGTCACCGTTACCTATTCCTTTTTAAGGGAGGTGGGGTACTTTGGTGTACTTGCCAGGGGAAGGAGCAAAAAAAGGAGAAAGAACTCTTGGGAAACGGAGGCTGTGAGCCATGGAAACTCCTGGATCTCTCCTGGCTGGTGGGTCAGTAGGCTGTGAATCATTGGGCTGTGTTTCCCTGCGGCATCATTCGTGGTGTCTGCAACTCCTCTGGAAGGTGAAGAATTTCTGTGGCTTTTGGCATTTCAGCAGATGGAGACTCTGAGTGTGTGTGCTGCCCTGCATTTGTGCTGTGAAGGGTGCTGAAGGTTTTGATGTGAAAAGATTGATATTCAGTCCCTATTTGTGCAAAATGTTTGCAAAAGTCCCAGGTGAAACAGAGTGGGAATACTTTAAAATATTTTTAGCTATAATTAGGCAGCCTGATTTGGTTTAAGCTTGCTTTTTGGATGAGAGGGGAGAAAATAACTATCTGATCAAGTGTTGAAACTTTTTTATTTAACTTTTCTTCTTATGTTTTTATTTGAGCAGGGGTAAGAGGGTATCATTAGTCCAACAGTTTAAAACCAAATACATAAAGGCTGTGGAATACTTGAAAGGATGTAAAGCCATTTGTTGGATTCAAACTACAATTGAGATGCCACTCATGAAAACATGATGCCTTTAAAGAGCTTGTAATGTGCAAACTGGCTGTTCAGGGCAGCTGTGATGGATTTCTTTAGCCCATATCTGGTGTAAAACATGATGTTTTGATTCAATGTGTAGAAACACCTGATGGGAGGGGGTGGAGAAGACAGAGGCAGACTCTGCTTGGTGCCTGGTCTGTGACTCACTTGAACTCTAGCCTGGCTTTCCAAGCCTCCCTTTCTTAAGTCATCTGGCATCAGATCTGTCCCGTCTCACCCCTCTCTAACCTGTTGACCAACTTTGAGGCTTTGCAGGGTCGGGAGTACGAAGGCGATTGTGTTCCTACAGGTATCCTGAGAAGCGACAGCCTGGCAGGGAATCCCCTTAACCCCTGCAGATGGGATGTCCACAAGCTCCCTTCATTAAATATTGGGTTCCTCTGGCTGGTGGTGACTGTGCAGCATCCAAATCCCAGTATCTTGTACATGCTGTGGCACAAATAGATCTTGAGGAAGCTAAAACTCAGCAGACTGAGACCATTGACATTTCTTTTTTGAAAACCCAAGTGTTTTTGTTTAGTGCCATTGTAGGGTTCTCTTCCATGCTGTCAATTTTTGCCCCCAAGCAGTGAAAGAAAACAATGAGGAGGAACTACTATTGTGCATTGAATGTAACTCAAGGATGCTGGACTGTGTTGGGTTTCTCACAGTTTATCCTGCTGTGTAAATGTCAAGACAAGCCTGTGGTATTTGTCTTTCAGAGCTGGAGACTATGACCCTTTGATGTTCTGTTGCAAGAGTGTTGGTGATGGCTTTAGATTACATTATCTGATGCTGCAGGTCTCCCTAATGGAGGGTTTACTCTTAATGCTCAGAATCTCATCCCTCCTCTGCCTCCTTAAAGTACTGGCAGACAACCCGGCCATTGCACAGAAGAGGAGAAAACCTCTTTTTCTATACAAAATGGGGGGGGGGGGGGGGGTTGGACAATTTTTGGTTGCTGATCTAGTGAGCAAAACTTTTGCTTGGGATAAAAGACATAAAGTTGCTGTTGAATTTCTATGGGAATTCACCAAGTTGGTCACATAAATTCAGTGTTTGCTCCTGCTGCTTTTTAGGGAGAAGGTACTTCTGTGCTTGTTTACACAAAACGAGTTGAAGCTCACTCTTCTTTTTACTGCTATTTACCTTTTAGCCAGTCCTAAGCATCGTGGGTCATGGCTGTGCAGGTAGGGCACTCTGCCGTAAATGCTGAAGGCTTTTATGTTGCTGTGCAGTGTGCGGGAAGGCTGTAGCTCGCCAAATGAGGGATACCGTAAGAACAAAATGTCCATTAAATGGACTGTTTGACTTACTGTGGTAAAATGCATGTTATATCAGTCTTAAAGACACTGGGCGTAGTTATTAAAATCAGCTTTATTACAGCTTGTATGGTTAGGCCGTAACAGTTTACGGGAACTGTTATTGCATATAGAGGATTAATTTGGTTCATAGCTGTACGACAGTGCCAACAGCAATATTCCCTTTGAACTATAGGATGAAAAATATAGAACACATTGCTTATTTGTTCAGGGGGCTGATTGCTGCACCCCAGCTCTGTGTAATTTTGAGTACTTAATCTCAGTAGCTAAAAGCTGATTCATTACTTGCTAAAGTCTCAAGCAGAAGCTAGTGGACTGGATCATTCATGCTCATTTAAAGAGAGGGGCATAATTACAGCCCCTAGTCTTAGAGCTTGCCAGAGGCTGTCTCCCCAGCCACGTCCAGCTCCAGGAGTTTCTAGCACCTACTTTGTCAGGCAGCGCGTCATGTACCTGGGATGGCCTTTTTTGAAATTGCTCTGATGATCTGAGCTTGACACGTGCGTCTAGGATGTAAATCTTCACACAAGGAACATGTGTGGGAGGAGGAGAGCCTTCTGCGAGGAGGTGGATAGTCAAGTGTCCAGTGGGAAGTGTCTTGGGAAGATGCTGATCCAGGGTTTGCACTAGGCGCATCCCAATCAGTAGTGGTACCATACAGGGTAATAGTTTCAGGGTTGAAGGGTGTTGCCTGGGATCGGTGTGTGGAGGAAAAAAGGTTGTCAGCCTTTTGGCAAGCAGATAATTCAAAAGTACAAGAGATACAGAAAATTTGCTCCCTGGTGTCTCTTTCCTGACATGTATTAACTTGTTGAGATGCCGCAGCAAGGTAAGCGCAACATTTCTACAGGGTTTTCTCTGTTTTAGCCATTTCCTTTTGACTTGTAATTCCTTGATGCTATGAAATAAAAACTTCCTTGTCAAAAACTTTCTGGCAGTTATAAGGGTTGTTTCAGAGTTAAGGGGGTTTTCTTGAGCACAGAACTGCTTGCCTTTTGTGTACTGTGCTTCATCTCATCAGCTGCCATTTTTTGTGGTGCTTAGAGCATCTAAGCTACCATGGCCATATCCTCTGTGGTTGTGGAGTCTTGAAGCCTGTGTTTACCAGTGGGTTAGATGTGGTGTAGGAACAGCTTTGAGTAAGTGCAGTGCTTGGTACACTAGACAGAGACCTACACTTGACCTGAACCTCTTCTCCCTGAAGCCCTGATGACACTGCTGCTAGAGTGAAGAGAATTCTGTCCATTTCTTATTTAATCAGCTGTTTCAGGGAGAAAAAAGACATTTGGACTACGGTGGGGTAAGTACAGGACTCTGGTTTCTATATTTCCATAGGTTTGGGGTGGGGGGGTGGGGGTGTAGAAAAAGCTATGCCCTGCTGGGAAAAAAGCTTTCCTCCACAGATCCTTAAGGGACACTTGCACAACATAAAATACATAAAGTATTTTGGCTGTGTTGCCAGCAGTTGGCAAGGCTGTCATTCCACAATGGGGAAGGCTTTGGTAATGCTGAATTAAAATGCTGCTGTTCTCCACCTCTTTTTTTCCTCCTCACTTGTGCTGGTCCAGCTATTTGTGATTCCATGTGGCACATTGGTTTAGAAAAATAAGTAACCCATCCAAAAGGGAAAAGCCCCGCAGCCTGAGTTGGCATCTGTGGTGTTAAACGTTGCAATTGTGCTTTTAATAATTAAGTCACAGGGAAGATGTGTAAGGTGAAAACCAATGCAGCTTAATGAGCTGTCGTCTACGGCTCTGTCACGGCAGCTGGAGCCTCATGTAAACTGGAAGGACAATTGATTTTTTATTTATTTATTTATTAATTTTTTAGGCACTGGACTGGGGTTTGGGAGACTGAAGTCCTGGTCCTACCACTGCCACGGGTTGCTGGTGTCATCTCAAGTGAGTTACTTCATCTGCATCAGTCTTGACCAAAGAAACGCATTTTGTGAGTAAGTCCAGGCAAAATTCTCTGTTCTCATGTGCCTCTTGTGTGTTTACTGTTTGGGACAGATATTGCTTGGCTATTGTACAGCTTAGATCAAAGCTCTAGGTACTAACCTGGGTCTGAGCTATCAAACATGTAGCATTTCCTACTGTAGCTTTCTGCCTTTGCTTAAAGGGGTGAAGAGGGGGCATACCTCAATCCTCGCCCACTACTAATGTTACAGAAAGCCATGCACTTAGCATCTGTGTGATCGTCAACAGCACTAAAAATATGTGGTCTACAGAAATACCATGCGCTGTGGGCATGAGCCTTGTACCGTGCAGAGCAGCAAACCAAAGGGATAGCACATCTCTATGGCAAGAGCTCTGTTGTGTCTCCAGGTGGAAGGCTGGGAAGAGCTGGTTTTGCTCAGCTATCCAAGCACAGCAGGTTGCGAGGAAGGTGTGCAAATTCAGCAAGTGGGCAGAGGGGGAGCAGGGGTGAGATCATGAAAACCCCGTAAGTAAGAGGAGGCGGGAGGGAGATTAAGCCTGAGGCTCTGGGAGAGAGGCTGTTGCAGAGAGCTTTGAACCAGAGGAGCACTTCTGGATGCTACATGGAAAAGGAGAGGAAGAAGGTGGCTGCATGAAGCAGAGTGGGGAGAGTGACATGAGCACTCTTGGAGCCGTCAGCTCCATGGCACTGTGCTGTCTATGAGAGGATGGATGGTTCTCATCTGCTGCTGGACACTCCCAACAGCAGCAGTCATTCCAAGTAACCCTGGTCCCTGCCCTGGCCCTCTTGGCAGTGCTACACACAAGTCCCAGCTCAGAAGAGTGCCTCACCACACGCTGTGCAAAAGATGCTCTGGAGTTTGCCAGTTTACTGTGTTTTAATAATTTGCCCCTCTTAGAAGTAGGGAATGGTCTGTATACTGCCATTGCTTGGGCTTGCATTGTACCCGAGTGACACCATGTTAAAATTGTTGCTGGTTTGGAACTGTTGTGGGGGGAAGAAAAGAAATGGGATTAAGTACTGAAGAGTTGGGTCCCTTAGGGGCTGTCTGCATACATTGCTCTCCAAATGAGGACCACCCTTAAATCTGTAATTCAGCTGCTGTTAGAAGATGGCACCTCCTGTATGAGTGAGGAAGACAGTGTTGTGCTATAAGGGTCAAGCTGTCCCCCTTCCTGAGTTAAAATCAACCTTTTGCTGTCCCGTCTCCCTTTCTTTAGCTCCCTGGATTTCTTTCTGATGAGAATGTTGCCTCAACACCTGGCTCAGATCTGACTTTCCCTTCCCTGTTGTGATGGCCTTGAGAGGCAGAGCAGCTTGTTGGAACATGTCCTACTCTCTTCCCCTTGGCTCTTCTTACTTGCATTTCCAATATTCCCCTGTTAGTGTGTTTCTGAACTTCAGACTGGCTTTTCTTGTTTGCAGTCTCTAGGACATGGATTTAAAAAACAAACAAAAAAGCCCAAACCCACAAAACCTTAAAATCCAGATACCATGATAAATATAAAACATATAAGCTTCTCAGTACTTTTAACCCTTCCTCTCTCCCTGGAGCACTTTTTGGGGCACCTTTTGTTATGGACAGAGACTGTGTGAGCAGGATACACACAAGTGAGGACTAGTGAGCTACAAGGCTGTGCTGACCACTGAGAAAGACACCTGAAGTGTCTTTGCTGCCCAGACAGGCACTCATCGGGTGGGAGGGTTGGCCTCGGCTGCTAGCTGGAATGGAACATCTGTGCTGCTGAGATGCCATCACTGATCTGGGGTTGGGTTTTCTCCCCTCTAGGGTTTTCTGCCTTCCCACGTTGAGGTTTTTCCTCTTGCATGTTTGAGCAGCTACCTATCACATCTCGACAAGCCTACCTCTGTCCTCGGTTTTACCTTTCTTATCTTGCAGGGCTCTGTGTTCTCACAGTTTGGCAATCTCCTCTGCTGTCGGAGGCAGGGTTATCCAGCTGGGCCGTATCAGGGAGGCCTTGGATCACAGCTGAACCTGGAGGACGGGGCAGTTTCAGGGCCAGCTTGCTGCAAGCTCTGTCTACCTTGTGTTTGTGCCAGTTTAACTCTCCAGATTGTTGCCTCGGTACTGGAGGAGGCAACTGGGTTATTAAATCACTTCTGCTTCTTTGTCAGTCTGGGGGATCTGCCATCCTGGCACAATACTGGTGTAGAAGAGAACTTTACACTGAGTCAGACTGGCAGGTACAGTTAAAACCACTGGTGAGCAATTTCAGGTGCTCCATGCTTCATCCTTCTCAAGCAGAAAAAGCCCTTTTGCTCAACTGCATGTGTATATCAGGGCCCTGGAGACAACAGGATCTTTTCTTTCTACCTCTGCAGCACACCAGCAGAGGTCTGTTTGCCCTCACTGCAAGGCTGGATCCATGGTGTCCTTCCTGAGAGCAGCCATGGAGTTACGCTAGAGGCTCTGCTCTTCCCTTTTCTTTCATTTGTTGGCAGACTCCTCAGCCTGGAAACATGACTGCTGAGGTGATGATATGATGGAGGTCTAAGGTATATTGGCATGGAGAAGGTAAGGAACAACAATTTGCTCTGCCTCATACAAGAATTAAGGTGTACCAGATGAAATTATCAGGTGGCACTTGAAACAAAAGAAGGTGCTGTTTTGGCAGGTTGTATGGTTCAGCTGGGGAGCTTATGGCTGTGGGACATCATAGATGGCAAACATGGTATGGGCTCAAAAAGCAGCTAAACATGGAAAAGAAAAATCCATTGAGGGTTATTTATCACAAAGACATCAGCTGTGATTCAAAGTCCCTGAGCAATAAGGTATCAGGATGCCAGGGAAGTATAGCTGTTAGATTTTCCTCCATGTGCTGTGCCCTCGCTGGCTGCTGGTAGCCTTTGAGACAGCATGCAGGATTCAGATGACCCTTTAGTTTGACTCAGTTGGCTGAAGCTACTGCAGAGTCTATAGCAGATGGAGTGATACTGCTGATACTTCCATAGCTTTGCTTCCCCAGGGGCTTTAAATGCATTTTTCGAGGCTCTGCAGTCGAACAAGAGAGTTCTTTGTGTTTATTTTCCTACTGTAGCTTTCCCTCTTTTAAAGAGAGACAGCTGGTTTTGTGAATGGTACTTAACAGTTCTTTCAAACTCAATTAGGCACTTGGGAGCCAGGAGTTGCAAGCACTCGGCTTCTATAGCGAGCAAAGGATTTTCCCCCCTGCAGCTTCTGTTATACCATCATTTCCAAGATGTCCACACTCTGTGAGCTGAGGTTTTAAAAACTGGCCATTTGTTAGTGTCTGAAAGCCTTGGAAATAGTGGCCAGTCCTGCTTGCTTTGCTCTCCTAACTTTGAAATGCTCTGAAACAATTTAATTCATCACTTCCCTTTTAATCAAGGAGAAAGAAAAAAAATCAGGCTCTGTCCCAACCCTGAACTGACTTGAATCTTGTGTCTACAACAAATGCCAGGGATTTTTTTGGCAGGCTTGACAACAAACCATTCTTGCATTTGAAATGGCTGGACAGTGAAACTAAAGTGCTTTTACCTTTTGTATAAGTGCATATCAGGGCGCAGTGTTTTGTGCAGGGTCTGCTGCTCATGCCCTGTAGCTGTGCCCACGTACTGCCCAGCCAGGCATTAAGTGATGTGATTAACAGCTGTCACATGTGGTTGACTCTGCCTCTGATCTCCAGGCTGGGGAGATCTGTGTGTGCAGTGGAGGGTTTTATTTTGCTAGCAGAGCTCTGTGAAAGGTTTCCCTCCCAGGAAATTGTTTCTGATACTTTAATGTTGGTCTTTGTCCTGACTGAAAATTAAGACCTCAGAAAAAAAAGTATACACGCATATTTTTCTATGACACTTTTTTCTTGATTTAGTTAAGCTTGCCAGAGTATTTCCTTTAGGTACCTTTAACAAAAGCATTTTAAAATTTCAGGATTCCTTCTTGGGCTGCTGAGCTAAAGGTTCCAGCTCACTGAGCTGTATGCTCAGAGGGGCCTGGGATACTTTATATGTTGTATTTTCATGCTCTGGACTCCTGCCCAGACAACGTCTCCCAAGAGCAGGACACTGCCATGAGAAACAGAGCTGAGCTGGTTTAATGCAAGCATGTAAGAATGACCATGCTGGTCAGAGCGAAAGTATAAGCATCTCCATGCTTGGTCTCCAGCAACCATCATCAGTGGATATTTAAGGAGAGAATATAGGGAATGGGATATTTCCCAGACTGCACTCATAAGCGGTTCAATGACTTCTTGAGACAGAAGTTATATCTGGATTGTCATGTTTAACACTCACTATGGAGCTATCTTCTGCAAATTGTCTCTTGAATCCATGTTCCCTTTGGGACTTGGTGATCAAGCACTTGGTTCTCCTATTTATTTTGGAAAGGCTACAAATGTATGGCACCCAAAGCTGCAGTCCCAGCAGGCAAACAGTGGCCTGAAGTCATGCAACTAAATGCTGGTGTGACTTGAAACACTTTGGATTTAGTTCAAGAAAATGCTGACTTTTGATTAAGGGGAATGAAAAGAAAATTGAATGATTTAGGCAAAAACCCCCTTATTGCCCCAAGGACTTTTTTTTTTTTCTGAGATTGCTCTTTCTGTGGATGGAAAATTCCCAACCTGCTTGAGTTGGCAAGCTCTTGTTTTTAGCTAAAGCATATGCTGATATATGTTTGTATCTTGCTCCAACAAAAAGCTGTGGAAAAATAAAGAGCTAAAGACAGCCTGCAGTTCCCTTCCCCATTCTGACAGTCCTCATTCTGCCAGTGGGGGTGATGGAAAAATGTCAATTACAGTTCAGTCTGCAGGAATGACAGCAAAATGATACTAATTAAAAAAAGAAATATAGAATTCCAGCTCTACTACCTGTCCTACAGGGAACTTCACTGTAAATGCAGAAAGATCCTGAAAAGTTCATCTACAGCACCCAGTGCCTGAAACACATCAAATAAGGAATAAACTGCCTTTATTTCAATAAAAGCACTATTAAACTTCAAAAGCAAGGTTTTTAAACTCATCATCCTAGATTATAAAGATTATCTAATAATTTTATATGGAAAATGAAATTCTTAAATGCTTTTGCCTCTCCCTAGCTCATAACACAATGCCTTATTACCCTCAAGCAAAGGCAAGAAATTCTTAAGCCGATTTTTCACTGACACTCTGCATGCTACTGCTGGCTGCTCTGCTCAATCTTAACAGCTGTGAGAGGCTGCTGAGTCTGTGGGAAAGGTGTCTGCCTGTTCTTGGACGCATCAAGCATGCTCCTAGCACTTGATAAATGATTTTGCAGCTGTGGTAACAGCTCCGCTTTGCAGAGATGGCCATTTTGGATTTCATTTTAAATGCATTTTAACTTTCCTGTCCTGAAGTTTCCCTCCAAGGTCTTCTGCCAAAAGTCAGCTTTATTTTAGAGTGAAAGTTTTGACGTTAATTGAACAGGGCATTTCGGAGATGAGGGATTTAAGTCCATGAGACCTTGCAAATTTCATAAAATGCACTGATACGTTTTTAGCAGGCTTTTCTCAGGTCAATTCATGGAGGCTACACTCTTCAAGACCGATGAAACCCAGTGGTTCCCTGGACTGTAATGAGCTACACTGAGCAGTTGCGCATCTACTCCCAGATCTGGCAAGTTACAGATTTTACAGGGTTTGAGCCCTTGACAGGGAAGCTTTACATTACATTATCAGATGAAACCTGAGTCCTTTTCATAAACCCACTATTTATTCTCCAAAGTCTGTTTAACAAGTGTGTTCAGTAAATAGAGTTGGGAAAGTGGCTTTAACTTGATTACAGGGGTTTTCCTCCTCTGCTTTGTTCCCTTGCAGAAAATGACCCTGATGAACAGCACGTCCCCTCAGGCTGTAACTGGCCTCAACCAACCCTACCTGAGGCTGCTTCTTAGCCAGCTGTAGCAGTGGGAAGAGAGGAGGAAGAAACAATGACACAGGACTCATGAACATCTGAATATTTCACAGTAAACTGTTTTCTGAGTATTCAGTGTTTCAAGGCTGCTATCTGGTGTTCGAGTTTCCATCTCTTGGGCAAATGGAGGTGATCTTCTGCCCTTCTTGTCCCAGAGTGCCCCGCTTGGTCAGTGCTGTGATTTCTTCCCCTGTAGTGTCCAATATTTGCTTCTGCCATGTTGCTGAACTTAACCTTTTCTTACCACAAGAGTGCAGGAGGTGGGTTCTTCTCTGTGTGGCAATACTGTTTCTGCTGATTACAGAGGCTGGTTTGCACTGACTAGTGAAAGAGTCCAGAGAGACGGTGTCTATGGGGAGCCCTGTGATGTCATCCTTGCACAAAGATGGCATCATCAGCTCTGCTGCTGTAAGGTAGTGGATGCCCTTGTTGCTCCTGTCCAGCTGTCTGTGAGGAAGGGTGCAGAACCTTTCCTACTCAATAAATGTAGATTGTAATTATAAAAGAGTGTATTTTTTGCCCTATTCATCTGACTGACACCTGTGTGTTTACCGGGTAAAAAGACTGTGTATGTTGATGCATTTATCAAGAAATTCTAATCCATCAGCACTCCAAGGAGAGTAAACCACCACACAGATCATGTTAGACCACTCCTTTTGGATCAGATGGTCACTTCCCATTTTCTTGGTTTCTGAGCTTCTTAGGAAGATGCATCATTGCATTGACAGTGAACCCAAGTTACAAAAACCGTGGCACAAAGATGTTTTTCCAAAACATTCTGGCTTGCATTCTGTGGCTTCCAAACCTTCTCTCCAGCATCAAGGGATCCACCCACCCATACACAAATGTTGCTGGAGTGGCCTGCTTCCACTTAGCTGAGTGTCCCAACAACTGCAGTGGTTGCCTCTGAGTGGTGCAGCAGATGCTGCCAGCCTCAGATGGACACTGTTTGGATTGGAAAGTTCCACTGAAGTCTCCCCTTTCTCATGGGGCTTGAAACCTCGCTGTGTTTTCAGGTGTGCGCTAGCTCAGGTATGCACTGAACAAGCCAGCTATTGCCATGGAAGGCCAGATCCAGATGAACCTTGACAGAGGAGGACAACTAAATTTATTGCATTAATGACCATTGTTCTTTGTGGTGTGTGATAAACCTGCTGTGAGGCTTTGTCTGAATTTTTAAGGTAGTCTGGTTTTCACGTCTCGCAGGGTACATTCCTTAACGCTTACTGTGTTGCAACATCTGCTCACCCCAAAGAACTGTATGAGCTTGTTTTCATATCAGGTTGTGTGTTGTTTAGAAGGATAGAGACCTTTAGGAAAGTAGGCCATGATTTACTGGACAGAGAAGACCTAACTATGAACAAAATCTCTTCTGCTGGCCTGAGAGCTTGTCCTGGTTTCAGCTGGGATAGAGTTAACTGTCTTCCTAGTAGCTGGTACAGTGCTATGTTTTGAGTTCAGTATGTGAAGAATGTTGATAACACTGATGTTTTCAGTTGTTGCTCAGTAGTGTTTAGACTAGAGTCAAGGATTTTTCAGCTTCTCTTGCCCAGCCAGGGCACCTGACCCAAACTGGCCAACAGTGTATTCCATACCATGTGATGTCCCATCCAGTTTAGGAACTGGGAAGGGGGGGGGCAGGGATTCGCCGCTCAGGGACTGGCTGGGTGTCAGTCGGCGGGTGGTGAGCAATTGCCCTGTGCATCATTTGTACATTCCAATCCTTTTATTACTACTGTTGTCATTTTATTAGTATTATCATTATTAGTTTATTCTTTTCTGTTCTATTAAACCGTTCTTATCTCAACCCAGGAGTTTTACTTCTTTTTCCTGATTTTCTCCCCCATGCCACTGGATGGGGGGGGAGTAAGTGAGCGGCTGCGTGGTGCTTAGTTGCTGGCTGGGGTTAAACCACGACAGAGCTGTTTTATACACTGCTCCTGCTTAGACTGGAAACTGCTACTTGGCATTAGCTGCACTAATTATGCATCTTGTTTCCATAGACTAATTGAAATGAACACCTGTGTGGAAACCTGCACTGCCAAGGCCAGTAAGGAAGGAAGAAAAATGGATGGTGTGTGCACCCCAGACACTGTTAGCGGATCTAGCTCTGCAAAAACAACTGCTGAGGGTATATAACACTTCCATTCTGCCTTTGGTTTTGGCTGTGGTTACTCATGTTTGTTACAGGATGAACGTATTTGGCCTTTATAGAAGCTGTTGAAGGGCAGGGACATTGGTTGGGACTTACTGTTTCTGTTCTGAGCCTTCCATGTGACGTTTTCAGTGTGCTACAGGAGCTCTGCTGGAAAAAAGGGGAAAGTCAGCAAAAGAGAAGCGAGAGTCTCTTTGAATTAAAGCACCTGCCTGCCCCGTGTGAGCTCTGTGTATCCACTCCGAGGTGTGAAAACCCTGCTTAAGGGCAAGCATCCACTTGCTGTGGATTTCTTAGCAACACCATGGCCTCTGCACAGGCAGGCGTTCATGAAGGGTATGACTTAGGGCCTGATTTTTCCCTGCCTGGCTTGTTACCTATACATGCAAATATCTCAAATCATTGTTCTTCTATTTGGGATGTATCCTTCATCCATTTTGTTTGCTTAGATGTGAAGCTGCAAGACAGTGGGTAAATGGACATGTATAGGAAAGTTTTCAGGGAAATGAAGCAGTTTCCTTCCCCGAAATAACAAACGCATCTCTTTCCAAGATCTAGGAATTCCTACTAGCTGGTTGCAGTGCAGGTCAGGGCTTCTTGAGGATTGTATAACCTTCAAAATTTGAATCAGTTGCTTTTTTCGGTACATTCTCAGGATTAACAACTGTTCCCTCATTTTATATGTTTCTTGGATATTTGATTTATTTTTATAATTCTTATGGGTGACACCAGAAC